GCCCTTCACAGAGACAGAGCAGAGCCTAGGGCTAATCTTAAAAGGCAGAAACATATGGTTTGGACTAGAAAGCAAAGGAAAAACAATAAATGCAATTATTGTCCCAGAATGTCATTGGGGCTTTAGCTACACCCTGCTGGTTTAGGGACTGCCAAGTAACAGGGCTGAAAATCAAAGGGAAATTAAAACAAGAAACGTTACCTCCTTTTTCAGGAGCCTAGTTTAAAATGATAGTTGCATTGCTCTCCTCACCCTAATTAATTTCCTATTGTAGTTGCCTGGCTTCAGAGGTTATAATTCTTTTGAAGCCTAGAGCAAATAACTAAAAGCTTCATTAAAGACTCAGATTCACAAGAAGAATAACATGGAAGAGAGTGATTCTCCTGGCTCAGAGAACTACTTCTTGCTTGCAGCCAAGTGGTGTTTCCCAGAGGATAAGGATTAGATGCTCCCTCTTGTCACCGGTGCCAGGAGAAGCAAACAAACACTACCTCCAGACAGAATGGGGGTGAAGGAAACTGGGGGCACACAGCACACTGAGTGCCTTGTGGCAATCACCCAGGTCTTACACTTCATGGCTGAGAAGAACTCACAGCCACTCGGGGTGCGGAACTAGGTAGCAGCGTGCTCAACAGCAGCGTGTAAACGTTGTGAAAAGGGACTGTCAGTGTGAATCCTCCAACCATGTTTCTGGCACTGAACTGGCACTGCTTTACACCCAAAGATCTGTTCTCACCAGCGTATGGACTGGCTAAAGCGCCTCCTCCATGCAGAGTGAACTGCAACCTCACCTGAGCAAGGGACTAAGAAGGGCAAGAACCTGCTGGTAGTACATCAAGAAGCCCAGCCAAAGAACGACCAAGGGAGAAGGAGGAAGGGACCAAACCTAAAAAATAACTTGGGCCCGTATCGCATATATGCATGGCTGTCACACGGGTCACCCCTGCTTCAGCTCCTTCTTGGGCACCAAGCAGCAAGAAGCTACTCCGGGGAAAGCGAAGCGTGCCCGGCAGTGGTGGGGGCAGGATTTCCTGCGTGCTGAGGAGCAAAGACACACATAAACACTGCAGAGGGAGGACAAGCCAAGCCAAACCTCAAATGCTGAAGAACACTTTTCTAAAATGAAATTAATACAGATTAAGAACAGATTGAAATGGAAATAAAAGGAGAAAAAATAAAACGCACTAGGTGCATTTAAAATCCGGAATTGTATTTGCCCACCTGCTTAACCATACCAATCTGGTTGGGTTTCCAATTGTAGGCTACTCTGTATTTCTAATGAGGTCCCCCCCCCAAGAAGAGATTTTTAAGCTGGCAATACAGCCCAGTTAGCTGAGCAGTCACACAGGCAGCACCATCTCCCTCTGGAACTTTAAGCCTGTTTCATACAAATGTTGTCTTTCGAGTATAACAAATTTTTCAGTTTTAAGTGGAAAAAAAACCTAAAACATGTAAGGAGAAGTTCTAGTGGACACTGGGTATTTTAAACCCACACCAAAGCCACTGCTAAGAAATAAAGTCAGAGGCTCAAAATGGTCTCATATTCTCAGTGATTTTTGGTTTTTTGTATCCTGTGGAGGGAAAACAGAATCCCTTTCTTCCAGCAGCACTGACAGCACCTAAAGAGGGGCGCTCTCTGCTTAACATCCTTCATTACATATGGCAGGTTCCCAATCTGCGTCACATTCTGGGAACACAAACAAGAGATTTAGAAAAATACCATCAGGAATCATTAACACCTTTGCTGAACAAGCTACCAATAGGGCTGTCTCCACAAAAAAATGAAAATCTGTCTTGACTCTTCACCAATATTCAATACAGCAAGAGGGAGGCAATTAAAAATAAAATGTTTAATGATCACATTTAATTTCTTTTCATTTAGGATTCAAATCAGGAAAGTATTCAACAATCAGAAAGAAATGTGCTCAGGACCTCACAGGATCTGGCTTTGAACTAATAGTTACACATGTTTGTTTTTTCTCCCAGATCAGCTCATCTCAGCGTTTTCACTTTTTTTTTTTTTTCCAAGTGAGGACTATAGCCAGTATATTAACTTTAAAGGAGAAGATGCTGAAGCACAGCGAGGAGGTATGTGACCTGCCAAAGCCCCACAGCAGAGCACAGAGAACAAAGGGGAGTCTCTAGACCTTCAGTGCACTCGCTAGTCCATGCTGACCAAGGCAAACGCTCTCCCTTGCACCCATCTCGTCCGCAGGCTCTACTGAAACTGTGGCCTGCTGGCAAAAAGCTGAACAGATGGTATGCACTTGAAAATGCACAGAATTATTGTATATGCAAAATATAAATGTATTACTTCCATATGAGTAACACAGTTTTCTTCTGGAACAAATTAAAACCTATCTGCCATACAGAAATTAACATTGTGCAAACTAAAACACCATTTCAACAGCACATATCACGCACTTCAAAGCGATTAGATACGAAAACTAAACCACAGTTAATGCCTTGGAGTTTCAGTGCCTAAAGAAGTCAGAGAAAATATTCTGTGAAGAGTATCAGTTTTCTTGAAATGCCCATAACAGCTTTTAAAAATCTAGAACTCAATTAGATTTACTGTGGCTGCTTCTTTGTTACTTAACAACAAAGAGTAAGCATACAAATTTAACCATTTCCCAAGAAACCCAGTAGTCCGTGCACTCTTCCATTAGTACTTTCTGCGTACATTTTTTGACACAGGGAATCAAAACTAAACCCTAAGTTAAATCATCCCAGCTTGACGTGTGCCCATGCAAGTCCTCCTAACACGCTTGCCTCTTCCGAGCCCAAACTGCTTTCAAATGCATCCACCTGTTACAACAGCTTTCTCCAAAGGTGCATGCGCATTCCTACTAAAATCCAGGAGCTGAACTTGTTTTAAAACCCTTGCCAAAGGCCTATTTCAGCATTATAGTTATCGCCTTTTATTTTTTTAAGGCAAATTTTAGGAGACAGGTCAAAAGTTAAGGTAATTTATAAATATTACAAATGAATTTCCATTAGCCCTGGAAAGGTTGTAGCTGCTCCTCAATGCTCAGCTTAGGAAGAATACTTCCCAAGGTCCTACGAACACTGCAATTCTCCAGGGATACCCTAGGGAGATGTTTTGACAGCTTTGAAGTTTGGTTTTATCACATGGTTTAGTTCCTAATGGATTGCCTTGGTCTCCTGGATGGCATGTTTGTTCAACTTGCCTTCAACTCTGTTTATCCCTTTGTAAACCAGGTATTAAACGCAAGTCGGTGCAAGCCAGAGTGACAGGGGAGAGGGGGAACATTTTTACAGGCTCCCAAATAAGATTCTTGTTTCCATACCTAGATGACAGAGTGCGAGTTGCTCGGTTGTACTGCATATTACACATGTGCATTAACATACTTTTTCCCTGTAAAAAGAAAAAGAATGCAGCTAAAAGCCACATTTTCCCCTCTCAGATCTGCCTGGCACGTCTCACTTTTGATATCTGGAAACATCTACCTCACAGGGGCCTGGAGAGGGTGAACATCAGGGTCAAAAACCCCCATATGGCTCAGAGAAAAGAACTTTTCCTTTCAGCGGGAAAGAAGAATAAGGTCATTGACGTATTAATGAATCTTGTAAACTGCCTTAATGAAGTTCTAGTTTTCTTTGCCTTTTTTTTTTTTTAACTCTGTCATGCCATTATACATGTAAATTTAATTTATTTGAAGTATATTAAATTTTCTCTCGCACTAGTTGCAGTGAGTAATAGTTAGAAGCTAAGAAAACAGAATTCCATCCCATTACTAGTAGGGAAACAAAACTGTGTGTGCCAGCTCCCTTCGCTGCACTGTCAGCAAAACAAAAATATTGTTACATTTACCAGTCCAAAATATAATTATTTTAAATCTTTTCACATGCTTCTAAGTCCATATGCATTTCCACGCCTCAGCAAAACCGATGTCATCTGTCCACGCAAGCACACACTGAACTTGGGGAAAACTAGACGTTTCACATAGAACGTGAAGGGGGGAGGGGAAGACAATTAATTTCAAAACAGGCTTATGAAAACATTGAAACAGTAAGGGGAAAAAAAAAAAGATAAGCTGTGCACAGATTTTTAACTTACCACAAGAGCAAAGTACACCATAAAGAAAAATGATAAACTACTTGTGTAGCCAAGAAAGCCTGTAAAATAACAGTAAAAATAAAAGAGAATTTATAAGGAAAGTGATCCTAATGTACAGCTAAAGCTTTACATTTTAGGCATGTTTTCTATTACAGCGCTTGGTATCTGGGGCTTAGGACTCAGAATAACAACATTCCAACTGCCTGTCACAGATCATTTGTGTAGTTTTGTAGGGCAGAATTAGAACTGGCTTACCACTAATGGCAGGCTGTAAGTAAATGCAGCTCTTTAATGTTCTGCTGTAAAGATTTTATTTTAGTATTGCAGACAAAATACTACTGCAACCCAAGTAATAGGTTAACTAGGCAGGGCTGGAAGGCAGAACACACTACAACAACTTAAGTAATCCCCACCATCACCAGCCCCCTGCCAGTTAAAATAAATAAATAACCCATTAAGGTTTTAAAGTCTTCAACTCTAATTGCTACTAAAGTAGAATAATATTTGCTTCCCTCCTTTAATTACTCACCAATTTTAGGAAGAAGTGCAAGAGGAAAAACAATGCAGACTGAAGTAATCAGTAGCAGCAGTCTCCCATCAAGGTACCAAGACCTGTTGGAAAATCTATTTATCACCAATACAAAGCTCAAGAGTCCTAAAAAATGTTCTACTTTAAAACTGTGATCTTCGACAAATTAACCACCGGGGCAAGAAAAATACGTACTTTCCACCCTCACATGCTATCTACCTGAATTCATATTCCTGGTTTCTAGACTGTGATATCAAATAGAGTTCCCAGATAATGAGGAAGCAGAGCAGCATCCCGTGACGAACCAGCATTGCAGGCAACGTTCCACAGGCAAGGGTCTGTGTGGATCTGGGGTCTGATGTGTGTAAAGTTATTGCTCAGCAGCACAGTATGCAAATCCCTGCCTCTATTCAAAGCAATGATCGGAGGGCAAGGGTATTTCATACCCCACAGATTTCCAACAGAAGTGTTACACAGTGCGCCACATACCCAGAAGTGGGTTACACCGAGTGGGATATTTACACAACAGGGAGAAAGAGCAGCATTAATTCCCAGTTACTGCTGAACTCCCCTTCCAGTGTCTCACTCCTACGTGGCCTTAGTTCCTTACCATTTCCAAGAGGTGTGAAACAGAAAGCTAAGCTACCCAAACCACTTGTTTGGCAATTCAGTTACGGTTTCTGAACATACCAACCTTCTCCTCTGCCCAAGTTCCATTACCCCTGTCATCACAGGGTTCGAATAAGACAAGAAAACAACAAGTAAATCAACTTTCAGTTAATTTGAAATTATGTTTTCTGGCCAGAGGTGATACAAGAAAGAGCAGCAATAGAGAGTAATAACTTTTCACAGTGATCACTTACTCTCTGCATAGGTCCACACAAACATTAAAGGACAAAAGGGATGGAAATTATGATAATGAAATCTGCTATAACTGTTTACACGTAAGGCTATACATATTTAAGAAAGCATCGTAGAGGCATATAAAATCTTCATGCCTTTAAAACCAAATCGAAGTATCATAATCTCGCCTCCAAACTGAGGAAAGCACAGATGTGTGAGTTGTTAAGAACCAGAAACATCTCAAGGGTGGCTCCTCCTAACTTCGTAATAACCATATCCTGTACTGATAAACATCTTGCACATCAGCCTCCGACTTTACTACCTATAAACACCTTGGCCTTTGACCTCCGAGTTTATTTAGTCCAGGATATGGTTAGCACCTAATAAACAGGCAGCACCTCAAGTTATCATAAGGAAAGTAGCACAACACCTGTGTTGAAGGAAAATCACCATATCCGTATATTAACTGCTGGCGTACGTCGCGGACAACCACTGGGGTCACTCATTTGCAAAAACAGGTAATAGGAATGAACAGAGAAATTTCAAGGTTGAGGGCATCTTCACCATATCAGAATCAAAGTAATCCCTAGGTAACAAGGTCTATAGTAAATATTACTCAAAATACACTATCCTTCTTAAAAAAGTATTACTAGCCTAGTATTACTACTGCTACAGTGAAAAAGCAACCCTGCCAAGATCAGCTCCCTGCTGTAGTGTTCATCAAGCATTTAGCCTTCACCTGTTTTTAAACCTTTTCTTTCTTTCTAGTATGCTGGAAGTTCAGATTAGCAGGAACACAGGCAAGGGTATAATGAACGCTGCACTAGGTGTACGTGTGGGACCTCTGTCCCCAAGTCTCCCCCTTATAAGCGTGCAGCAAATCCACAGCTGCCATCCAAGCTCAGAGGCTCAGCGGGATGGAGGAAAAATTATTTTGGGTACTTTATGGTAAATGAAAAAAAAAAAGGGGTGGGAGGGGAGGAAAACTGGCATGGTGTCATGGGAAGGAAAAAAAAAATTGTCTGTAAACTAATTTTGGAATCTCCACTTTTTTATTTTAAAAGATCTCAAAAAACCTGAGTAGTGGACCATCTACTGTTTCATCAAAAGATATGTCCATTTTTTTCCAAGACACTGCTGTAGAAACACACTTATTTTCCAAAGGCAGAATAAATGTTGCGATATTGCCTGTAAAATCAGTTTGATCTGCAAATTTAATCCTGTATGATAAAAGCCTTCCAAGTATGAAATATGGAATATAAATCCTTGACTCTACTGAAAACGCTTTGGCATGCAGATGTTCCTCCTCCCTCCCCCATATTTTAACTAAAAGCAGACAGTTATAAATCGCTTTAATTTCATTCCTGAATGCAACAGGACAAGAGATTCGTATGTTCTAAATTAGGATCTTACTCTCAGTCCATATCAATTATATAACGCACAAGCAAGACAACTTAATTGCATCAATCATCCTCTCCTGACAGGGTCATTAAATGTTAACAGAGGGCTCACAAATTACAACTTTTTAACACAATCCTCATTTGAAACTATGTTCGTGTCATCAGAAGCATGCGGAGTTCCCGTCCGGCAGACTGAAACATCTCGACTCGCCATGTGCCAGCGTTCGCACTGGACGGGCTTTGGCTTTGGAGATCCGTTACGCGCTGGCTCTGAGCCTTTCTAGCACACGCACACCTGCTAACCCTTACCTACAAAAATAATTCAACGTGCAAAACGTGCTTTAGAAGGCTTTCCCAAAAGTATGCTTTGGGATGGCATGTGCATATAAAATATTTCTGACGGGTAGTTTAACTGACACTTCTGATACACTCCAACCACCGTTAAACGCGGCACCCAGATGAAAGCGTGTCAATGACTTAACCAAACCAGAACAGCTGTGCGACCACATCTGCAAACAAGTGGTCTGGTTAAAATAGTTGAATCAAACTAGTCAGTATTTATGCCCTTGGCACCTCAAAGTTGCTACACAGGCTTGATATTTGATTACCTATTTTTGTTGAACGATTTCCTACAATCTAAAAACTCTGCTAGTAAAAAAACTGCTCTTAGCACCTGCGAAAAAATATGGGGAAAGAAAAGATTTTGAACTATCACGGCAATGAAGACAGAAAAACGTATGAAATATAGATGTGGACTGGCAGAGGCCAGCTATATGCATGCACCTGCAATACTGCTCGATCACTGCATCTGGAATATTTGCTTGGGCAAAGAAGAGTCAAGTCGTGTCAAATAAACATTTAGAGAGAGAGGAACTCCCTACGGCAGAGGCAGAAACAGGACGAGACCCAGGCTGACAATCAGCTTACCCACTGGAGCTGTGGTTAGTATTCCTATGGACAATTTCAGCTCTTTCTAAAAGCAAAACTGAACTTCATTCCCACGTCAAGTTGTAATTTCAAGGAAGGAAGCAGCACAGACAGTGGCAGTGCTACCACGGCTCCGATGTGTCATGACCCGCTCAGCGCTGTAACCTGTCTGCATGTCCACGAGCGATCGCATCCGGGGCATCTGCACTCGGACCCTGGCAGAGAGCTGAAGCTGGTGGGAGCGTTATCAAGTAGGCAGCTTAATGAAGAAGTTTATACTGCCTTTTTGAGACAGAACAATCCCCTGAGCAATATGCATGCATGCAGGAACCCCAGATTCTACCCATTACAAGTTTTTACAAGCTGCTCGTTTAAAAGTGTATCTTTGTTGGGAAAAGCCCCTTTGCATAAACAGCGCTGACATAAAATTAAAACCAGCAGTAAGGGATGTTATATGCTAAATTTGGGGACGGACAGAGTGGAACACACATTCAGCAGACAGAGTAGCAGGCTCGACGCCACTGTGTACAAAGAGTGGAGTTAGAAGTATGATCCTGAAGAAGGTGATAGCACCCAGATGAAAAGCTGACGACTACCACAGCTGGAAGAGATGCATTAGCATACTAAAAATGACACAGACACATAAAACATTATAGTTTTTTAAAAGTCCCTTACTAAAACCATATTATTGCAAGGGCCAGGAGGGCAGAAAGACAGAAAGCAAGATTACCACCACACTACATTTCTCAAAACACTCGTTATACAATGGGAAAGCTATAAATGACAAAATATGAAATTAATTAAAGTACTTTTTAAAACGCTAACTTGAAACCTGAAATTCACCCACAACATCCAGGAACAGCCCAAGCCTCACACAGCCTTGAGACAATTTCACCACATTTCAATCCAGAAAAGGTTTTGAGTTTAAAACATTTGAAAATAGCACTTTGGAAAACCAGCACGATCTAAGACTCACCGTTATGACTGACAGCAGCACTGCAACAACTCTAACAAGCTATTTCAGTGCTGAAGCTGCAATGTTTGTTTTAGCACAGGCACAGATTCCTTGCGACAGTTCTGACAGGAATCTGAGGGACGCGCTCGTTACGTACAGCTTTATAGCTCAATTGCAAAGAATAACTTCTTTACTGGGGAGCCAAGTTAAGGAATTATAAACCAAGTCTGGAAACCTGGCATTTTTCCCAAGACAAGTCCAATTACTAGAGCAAGACAACAAAATATTTAAATGTAATGTCTGCTGGTTTTTGTACTGTGGTTTCGGAATATGCGAAGTGATAACATGACAGCCGTTTAAATGTTTCTCCTCCTCTCCCACTCCTGCTTCCCCTTTCAAATTTCTACAGAAGGGATATTTCTGTATTTCTGTAAATGACTTTAAGGTTGTCTGGTGGGAAATCGCTATGAGGAAAGAATCATGTTCTCTGTGTGTGCTGCAGAAGGCTCGCACATGCCAAATACATTTCATGTTCTAAGAACTCCTGTATATGACTAATTTTTTTAGCATGTGAGATCAGAGGTTAGTGTCAGTACCCATCTCTTTCAGCAGTCCTGAAGCACTTTCTTCTTCAAGACAAATACCGAATGCACGAAGCGTTTTTCCTTACCCGCTCTCGTCGCTGCTTAAGAACCCCGCAACAGCACCAGGAAGTTCAGATTTAACAATTAAAAGGTAAGAAGACATAGCTGCAAACAGAAGCAGAACAGGTTTAGTAGAGGAATACCGGTATCCCCGGTTGTAACAAGTAGCGTGGCTTAACCAGAGTGGTTAGGATGGGAACATCTCAGCTATCTATTAGACACCACGGCACCAGAATCCCAATCTGTTTTCTCATACATACACTTCCTTTAACAATAGCTGCAAATCCCAGAGTATTGTACTGATGTTAGCGAGACTGTTAAACATGCGAGTCCTGAAACATGGAAAACGGGATCCAAAGGACTAAAAGGCAAACCAATATAAAATAGAGGCCTGACCTTTCACCTAGGAACACAGACCCACGGGCTAGAGGGAGACTGCAAAGCTGCAGCACTTCTCCTTCCTCTGTACTGAGACATGGTTAATGATGAGAGTAAATAATGAGATCTGTTTCTATCAATACAATAAGGGCTTTTTTAAAACTTCAGTTTTTATTGTTGTTCAGCTGTTGTTGTACTAAATAAATGGATGGCAGAAATTTAAAGCTAAACCCTTCACCAAAAAGATTCCAACAACAACATAAAGTGCGAACCAGGACAGGAACTGCGAATCAGAAGAGAGATTGTTAGTTACTCTTATAGGAGTGTCGACCTGCAATTAAGCAATTATAATTCATTCAGAAGAAAGCAATGATGCATTCACACAAATCCAAAAGCTACTTCACTGTATCACTTTTCTCCTTTACTACATGAAATGATCAAAGGCATACATGAGGAGGTTTTACACAAACCTGATACCTTCACATATTTTTCATGTCACTTTTTTCTTGCATACGCAGCAAGTATTTAGGGGAAGCAAAAAACAGCAGACAATTACACAGAAAAATCAAGCTTTGCACACAGCCTCAATGAATATCAAAGCCTGCATGCAAATAATTTTCACCCGTCAGCAGCAATTTCAGTAATGTGTCAACAAAAGTTTGGTTACACTTAAAGCGTGACAAAAATTAATCTGCTGCATTCGAATTTTACTGTTCTGTATTTAGGAATTCTTCAGAATTTTACCGTGGTGCATTTATTAATGTTTTTAAATTAAAACATAAATCTTAAAAAGGTAAACCAGCAAACTTCCATAAGCTGATTTTTTAATAAGTTTGGGGTTTCTTTTTTAAAGGAATGTTTTGAACCTTAAAAAAAACGTGTGGGCTTGGGCACTGCTGTACTACAGCAGTTAATTTTTTTTAAGAAAGGCGACGTGGTCTCCATAAAGAAAGCGAATTCTGTTAATACTAAGTGACATCTACCTACCGCAAGGCTAAATTAAAACCACTTGGTAGGTAACTAAATAAGGAAATATTCACTTCTGCATAATTAAAAGCTACATTTTTTTCAATATTCAAGCATATTTCCCTGTTGACATGTAGCTGTTGATTGTGTCTGGTGAGGTATTTATCTGTTGTCTTGGTTTTACTCCCCTATTTGCATACAACAGAATGTAGACTCAACCAGACAGAACCGTAAGCACGCATATTTCTAAATCACAGGAATTCTAAGTCAATTAATGCAATTTCTCCCGCTAAGCTAGAGGCAGATGCATACTTCATCCTAAGCAAAGACAGATTTTTTAAAAGTTTAAGTGGGCGGAGGGGGAGAAGGAAATCTCGTCTAAATTATAATTCAACTTTATTTATCTATTAGCCTTCTTTCTTGCATTGTACAATAATTTACACAAGCAAGTCAGAATTTTCATATATTTATGTCCTTCAGAATGATTTCAAATTCAGTTCTTTTGCAGCCTCAGCTGCAGAAAGCTTCAAATTAATTTCCAGATCAGATTTCCTGCTAATATGCAATCTGTCACTCTTCCCTCGCATTCCTATTAGCCTCTGGCTAATCATTTGATCACTTATCCTTTGTTGTGTGCCCTTACTCTTTGTTTTTGGAAGAGGAGTCCTATTTCACTGAATTCCACTCCTACGTAGGGAACCAATCACGCACCAAGAAACTTGCACATGCTAAACATTTGTATGCATCTTTCTTCCTTTCTCTGGGCATATGGGAAACAATCTTACAGAGCAGGGTTTTTTTCCCCAGTTTATATTCTCTTGTTTGTTCTAGAAGATTAACAAATTAAATAATAAATAATTTGATTTATATCCTGGTGCTTAAATAACACATGAATCTTGTACATAAACCTGAGCACAATGTCCATGCTAAAAAGTCAAATCCCGCTTTCTCTTCACTTACACACACAGTTGTAATTTTCCCCACGAGCAGCAGCTTCCTCATGGCTTTACTCAGCGTGAAAGAAGTAAGGGATACTAACCACTGTACAACCCTGAAACACACTACAAAGTGAGCAAAGAACATTGTTTGTTTGTTATTTAAAGCTGAAACCGACACAGGAAAGCATCTTCAAAAAGGGCACAGCAACTTGAAAAAATTCCCTCAAGCAGGAATAAAGCGCGCACAGTGCGACGGAGTCATGTACCCTCTGCTCCACATAAGAATTTTTACTTAACTTCCCTGACGCCCACCACGACCGAAGTCATGCCAAGCAGTATTGTAAAAATGAAGCGTCAGCTATCCTTGGCAGCCTTAATGTATAACGGAAGGAAGAGATTACGCAGTCACAAGGCTGAACTGTGACACAAGAGAACACAGCACAACGCATACCTTGTGCTTTGATTTATTCCTCTTTGAAATACTGACTTCCCCCGTCACGTCGAAAATAATTCCAGTGTTTTAACGGCTAACTTTTAAGGCACCTTTTACGACGTACAAAAATTACAAGAAACATACATTCACCCTCAAAAGTCAAGCGTTCACAAAATATTAGCAAATGTCAGAAGCAACATTCCTCTCGGAGTTCACCCCCACTTGCACACACACAGTATGACAAAGCAGAACTTACTGCTCTTGCCACCCAGCCTCACCCCCTAAATTAAAAAGGTACGTTACGATTTCTTCGTGTCACCTTCTCTTTGCAACAGGAGACATCTACCTGTAGCACCGCATGAGGCTTCCTGCAGAACAGATGGTGTAAAATGATGTCGTTTGAGGCTTCAGCCACATGCAGATGCAACAGGCGCTGAACTGTAACCACCTGAGCAACCTTCATTTAGTCCTTTCCTAATATTCTGGTCCTGAATTTGCAAATACTATGCCATTTTTAAATAATTTTCAGTATGCATCAAGAGCTTCCTGATGAAGAGCTAAGCAGGTCAGAACCTCTCAACAGGCCTTAACACAGAGATGCCATAAAACAGTATTCAGCAGAAATCCAGATTATATTACTACTTTATTATTCAACAAGTTTACCACTGCCTTGAAAGCAGCAAGAAATTACATTCTTAAAACATACATCCCTTTCCCATGTTCTGAAAACTTGGTATTAGCTCTATGACAGAAAAAAAAGCGTGTTAAAATACAAAATACTTGCTTTACGCTTGCATTATTATACCCTGTAGTGCCACCATGAGAAACAGCTCTCCACAAACGTGCAAAATGTGCGTACCACGCATACGTTGCTCAGAATGCCCCTAATTGTTTAACACTGAGCATATGTGCCACACCTGAAAAACACATCAGCTGCTGGAGAAAAGGGAATGCGTACCATGCATACGTTGCTCAGAATGCCCCTATTGTGCTGCAATATTGTTTAACACTGAGCATATGTGCCACACCTGAAAAACACATCAGCTGCTGGAGAAAAGGGAAAACAAGGTTATTTTTTTTTAAATACACCTCTTCTGAGGTAGCCCAGTCTTAAAATCAAAGATGTGAGTGGCTTTTTGGTTACCAAAAGAGAAGTGTACCTTACCCTTACTATCCTACCCCCCAAAAAATCACTTGCTGAAGTCCACAACAATGATGCAAGAGAATATGTACCTTAAACTTAGGTGTAAACACGTCATTTATTCCTTCCCTAGAAAACTGTTGAAGATAAATCCCTACAAATCACTTAATTGAAGGGACTGAATCTAGCTCTTCTGGTTAGTTTTTCCTAATCTACCACTGTAGCGGATCATAGTAGAGCACTATAAAGATGTATTAAATTATTAACCACCGTGCAAAACTGTAATCAATCTACCCTCCGAATTTCACAGAGAAGACAGGGGGCTAGGGAAAAATAGACTGCATCAATACAGCCACACTGGCCTTTCAGCTCTGACGTTAAAAAAGGAGGCACACAGATCTGGGAGTCAGGACAAGCAGAGCAATCTTGATTCTCATCTGGGGGAATACCAGGTAAGACACAGATTCCTCACGAATGACTACAGATAATTAAGATAAATGAAAATTGCTTGTATTGCTCATCCTCTACACAGTTTGGTCAGTAAGATCCCTATTTTTCCCAAAATACGGAAAATAAGCCCAGAGACAGAAATAGCAGAATGAACACTACCGGTCGCTGCAGACACTTCAGCCCAACCAAGCTGGATCTTGTATAACAACTGCATGTGACAAAGCCCTTTGGGCTTGCATCGCCCTTTGCTGGTACGGAGGCATTTTAAAACTCAATCTGTCCTAATCCAAACAATGTGACGAAGTTAAAAAGGAAAGCAGGGAAGGATTTCAAGAAAGAAAGTGTAACTAGAAAGGATTTTGGGCAAGCTCCCATTTTTCCTGTCAAAGAATCAGAAGGGAATAGAAAGATAGGAACTACTTCAGTAATTGCATCGAGTTCCTAGTAAGTAATACAGATTGTGGGAACATCAGGAATAATGCATGGATGCTACTAAAAACCATCAGCTATTTTAGCCCTCATATCACATGGCCTTAAGGCATACTCTGGTGTGCATTTTGCAGTGAATCCCCCACATACTCCATTTTGAGACTTCTCCCAAGCACGTGATATATTGGGTTTAATACTTCCTCTTAGTAGAAGCTTATAAAAAGAAAACAAACAAACAAAAAAAGTCAGGGTCATTTGTTTGTAAATCAGATGTAGAATGTAGTATGTGAAAGGAGAGGAATGCTTGTTCATGTTCACATGGAGAAGTTCTGAGAACAGAAATAACTTGCCAACTTCTTCACTACTCTCC